ATAGATAAACCTTTCTTTAACTTTTACAATAACGGACTAATACAGTATTTGTCCTTTTGTGATTGACTTATTTCACTCAGCATAATGTCCTCCAATTTCATCCACGTTATGTGGTGTTTTGCAGATTCTACATTATTCTTTAGCGTTAGGACCTAGTTTTTTTATAGTGCATTCTTAGATATAACAACAGAAGCACACACAAGAGAAAGGAATAGATAATAAAATAGACTTCATCAAAATTAAGAACTTTGGTGCATCAAAGAACTTTACCAGGAAGGTGAAGCAGCAACCTATAGAATAGGAAAAAAAAAAAAAAAAAAAAATCTGGAAAGCATATGTTTGATAAGGGTTTAATATCCAGAATACATACAGAACTTATACAACTCAACAACAAAAAAGACAAACAACCCAATGAAAAAATGGGCAAAGAACTTAAAGAGACATTTCTCCAGAGAAGATATACCAGTGATTGGCAAACAAACACATGAAAAAGGATATTTAATGTCATTTGTTGTTGTTGTGAGGTGCAGTTGAGTTGATTTTCAACACATAATGACCCCATGTGACAGAGTGGAATTTCCGCATAGGGAAATCTCTAGAGCAAAAAATACATCAAAAGAACAGTCCATCATGGTTATCAGAGGATGGAGGGACAGCATTTATTTCTTAAGGGATATTGAGTTTCTGTTTGAGGTGTGTGGTAGTTAAGGTTGCCAACTTGGCTGGGCCTGGTTGAGTGACTGGGCAGCTGATGTAGTTATTCCCCATAGTGAGATTGGTAATCAGTACTGTGGTGGAATCTACTGGAGCAGCTACCCCCACTGCCCCCACTGCCATCCAATGGGATCTGACTCATAGTGACCCCTCCTTGGGTTTCCGAGGCAGTATCTCTACGGAAGTAGATTCCCCAGTCTTCCGAGGAGCAGCTGGTGGATTTGAACTGCCAGCTTTCTGATCAGCAGTCAAATGCCTTAGGCACTGCTGCTTTAGAGATGTGGTCTGCTTCCAGTATGTAAGAAGCAGCTTTGAGGAAGATCTCTAGCTTTTTGGCACGCTTGAACCCTGCATGTAGCCAAGTCTTCATTCATCACCCTGCCATGCTCTGCCAATCTTGGGAGTTTTAATGAACTTGAATCAGTGGCCTGCTGTGTGGTTTGGTAATGTCGGGACTGTGCCTTTTCACTTGTCAACCTTGGATTTGTCAGCCTCAGTAGCCAGTAGCTGCCTGAGTGAAAAGATGCCTCTAGCTTCAGTGGGCCAGGAGCAAGAGGCAGAACTGAAGCCCAGGGTTGAGGGGCTTTCACCCAGCCCCTAGAGCCTGGCACTTTGAAGTTGTACTTTTAGCCTCCAAAGCTATAAGCAAACTCCTCTTTGTTAAAGCCTTCCTGTTTGTGTTATATTTCTGTTGGGGCAGCACTAGGTAACCAAAACAAAGTGATAAAAATATTTTTGGAATGGATAGTGGTGATGGTTACACAGCATTGTGAATGTGATTAATGCCACTGAATTATACACATAAGCTTGGTTAAAATAAATTTTGTGATGTGTATTTTACCACAATTAAACAACAAAAAAAATTCCCAGATTGATTTTTTATAGTAGTTCAATTGATAGATGTTGAAGATCTCAACCAAGAGTGGCATTGGGAATAAAGGAGCAAGAACAGATTTGCAAATATTTGATAAATTCATATTTAGAATATTTTTCTGACATATTCATAGAATTTAAAGAAGATGTCTAGTAAGCAATGGGATGTAAAAATCTTGTAGATTTCAGAATCATTGAAATAGATGAGATTTCTTGAACTCAGAAAAACAAACCAGTTGTCATCAAGTCAGCTCTGTGCCATGGCCACCCCATGTGTGCAGAGTAGAACTGTCCTCCATAAGGTTTTCGAGGCTTTGACCTTATGTAAGCAGATCACCAGGCCATTCTTCTGAGGCACCTCTGGATAAGCTGAACCATCCTTTCATTTAGTAGACAAGTGCTTAATCATTTGGGCTACCCACGGACTCCCTGGTTGCCTGAGTGAGGGTGTATAATGGTAGGAATGGGTGGCTAAGGGCTGAAGCCTAAGGAATGCCAACATTTATGGATTAGATAAAGGGAGTTATGTTAAGGAGAATTAGAAGGTGTAGTGGGGAACCCAGGAGCTCTGGTAGCATAGTGACTAATGCACTTGACTGCTAACCAGAAGGCTGTTGGTTCAAACCTATCAGCCACTCCTCGGAAGGATGGTTGGGCAATCTACTTTGGTAGTGATACTGCCTCGGAAACCCAAGGAGGGGTCACTATGAGTTGGGTCCGACTCGACAGCATGTAACAGCAACAACAATAGTGGGGGGCCCAGAGAGTGAAACCAAGAAACCCAAGGGAGGGAGTTTTAGGAAAGAGCTAGCCTTTAAGAATGTCAGATACTTCAAAGAAGTCAAGTGTGAGAAAAAAATGAGAAGTGTCTTGGTTTTTGTAATTGGTCGTTTGTGGCCTTAGTAATTGTGAATTGAGTAGAGTGGTGGGAATAGAAGCCATGTGGCAATGTAAGTGAAAGGTAGGAAGTATAGATAATGGGCTAGGCTCAGCACACTGAACATATTTTACACATTATGCAGTTCTTTGCTTCATTAACATTGCCTCAAAATGTTTTTCACCCCAGATTTTGCATATTGACTTACTGTGCACTACACACACACAAAAAATAAAATTATAGAATTAAAGAGATCTTACGAGATAGCCTTGTTGTATATACCTGAACAATGGTGACTTTTAAAATTATCTTGGACTGAAATGCTTTCTGTTTGAACATCTCTACAAAGGCGAGTAACTAGATTCTTTACTAAGTTACTAAATATCTACTTGCCTTTATTTGAAAGTTATTAATATTTCATTGCATAATGCTTTCTTGAAAGTATACCGTTTCTATTCTAGTTTATATATTTTTGTCCTAAAAATAATCTCATTTGTCTGATCAGTTAATGCTTATGAATGCAAAGTTTTGTTAGTCAGTAAGTGTATCAATTCTATAATCATAAACACTGCTTAATTTTGTAATCATGAATACATCATTAATTTTGTAATCATGAACCCATCTTAAAGATTGAAATAAAATGTAATTGTTTGTAAACAGCAATAAACTGAAAGTCTTATGTAAGCAAACTTTTTTTTTTTTTTTTCAATTGTGATTTGGGTGAAAGTCTACAGAGCAAATTCATTTTCCATACAGCAGTTCATACACATTTTGTTTCATGATATTGACTGTAATTCCCCACAGTTTAACAGCTCTCTTCCCACTTCTTCCGAGTTACCTCTTCCCTGTGTCCTTCCCTCCCATGCACTCCCCTGCCCCAGGTGTCTCCCTGTGCAAACACTGCCCTTCTGTTCTCCCATGATTGTTCTCTCCAAGGAGTGTATCTACCTGATGTAAGTGTTCACCCCATATGCCTGATTATTGTTTGGCTGGAAGCCACAGGAGTGAGTTCAGTTTTAGACTTGAAGAGTTAACTAGGGGCCATAATCTCAGGGGTCTCACCAGGCTCTATCAGAACAGCAAACCTTGTCTCTCTCTCTTTTTTTTTAATGATTTTGAGTTTTATTCCACATTTTTCTCCCACTTTATTCTGAATCTCCTGTACTGATCCTCTTCCAAGTAGTTGCCAGTGGCACCATCTAGTTCTGGTTTCATGGTCATACAGACTGTGGATCTCATGGTTTAGCAGTCCCTTTGACTAATTGTTTCTGTGTGTCTCTGCTTTCCTTCATTCTTGTTGTCTCTGGACAAGGAGAGACCCATTGTTGCATATAGATGGCTGCTTGCAAGCTTTTAAGACTCCAGTCACTTCTTGCCCAAGTAGGATGTAGAGCAGTGTTTTTGTGTAGTATGTTATGCCAATTGAGCTTGATGTCCCCTGCGACCATGGTTCTGTGCTCACAGATTCAACTACTCTCTCCTTCAGGGTAGCTGGCTGTGGCCAAGAAGCCACCTCAATCTTGCCCGCTGTTATCTCTACTGTACACCTGGATATTCTCACAGCACATACATATAGACATGTAGAAACATCATCTTCCAACCCTATACATGGTCATGGGCAAACTCCCTCCTCCCTAGACAAACCTGATCATTTAGCCTGTCCACCCATCTATCCGTTCACTCATAGGTCAGTGCTTGCCACCACTGACAACACAGTACTGTACATGCAAAAGCCTTTGTTGTCTGTACCTCTTGTGTACCTCTCTATGTATTCTTCAGTGCCACCATGTTGATCACTCACTTTTATTACTTGCCCTTCCTTCCCTTCATGCAAATCAGTACTTGTCTCTACCTATCTAACAGTATTCCCTCCCCTCATCTCCCATCCCTGGTAACAAGTAATGTTCCCTTCCATATATAAAATTTTCCTTGACTTTTTACAATAGTGAACTAATGTAATATTTGTCCTTCTGTGCTTGACTTATCTCACTCAGCATAATGTCCTCCAAATTCATTCATGTTATGTGGTGTTTTGCAGATTCTACATTACTGTATAGTGTTATGTAGTATTCCATTGTATGTACTACAGTTTGGTTGTCCATTCTTCTTTAAGCAACCTTCTTAAAGATAAGTAAATGACAGTGATTTTGAGAATAAATTTAACTTCATGAAATAAATATTTTTCATTTTTTCAGCTTCATTATTTAACATCTTTCTGTTTTTCTTTTCCTTTTTTTTAGGACTGTTATGAATACTATTCAGCAATTAATGATGATCTTAAATTCAGCAAGTGATCAGCCATCAGGAAATCTGATTTCCTATTTTGATGTAAGACATAAATAAAGTATTTCTGATGATTCTTGGTGAAGAAATTTGAAATTAGAACTTAACATATTGAGTATTTATTTACACACCTTCCTCCCATCCAACATGTTGTTGCCACTTATTTTATTTCTTGCTTTTTTAAGTCCCCAAATGAGTTATTATTGTTTTATTTAGTCAGTGTTATTTTTGGATTTACTCATGTTTACCAGTTGCCTTGCTTACTATTTTTTCTTCCAACTTAGACCTTACTTCTGAGATCATTTTTTTCCCAAATACATTCCTTAATAATTCCTTTAGTGACAGTCTATGTGGAGTGACCTTTATAGAGGTTTTTTTATTTTTTTTTGTCTGAAAATGACTTTGTACTTATTTTTGTATGATAGTTTAGCTGAATGAATGTTCAATTCTAGGTTAAATTACTTTCTCTCAGAAGTTTAAAGATATTACCTGCTTCCTGACTCCCATTGTTGCTGTTAAGAAGTCACCTATCAATCTAACTATTGTTCCTCTGTAGTTTATCTATGTTTTCCCTCTGGCTGTTGTTAAGATCTTTTCTTTGAATGTGATGTTTTATAGTTGGACTAGGTGTGAGCATCATTTTATTTTTGCTATTTCACATTTGTTCTGATTCCTTCTTCTGAGAATTTGGAACATTATCAGCCATTGATATTTTAAATAGGAGCCCTGGTTACACAATCGTTAAGCACTTGGCTGCTGACCAAAAGATCGGCAGTTCTAACCCAGTAGCCACTCCATGGGAGAAAGATATGACATTCTACTTCTGTAAATATTTACAATCTTGGACATGAGACAGTTCTACTCATTTCTTTTTTTATTATTATTATTTTTTAATTTTATTTTGATTTGGGTGAAGATTTACAGAGTAAATTCACTTTTCATACAGCAGTTCACATATACTTTGTCTCATGTCATTGACCAAAATTTACAATGCAGCAGCTCCCCTCCCACTTCCTCCCCATAGTTACCTCCTCCCAGTGTCCATCCCTTCATACTCTTCTGCACCCTGAGCTATCTCCCTGTGCATAAGCAGCCCTTCCTTCTCCCATGATTGTTCTCTCCAGGGCATGTGTCTACTTGAGGTAAATGTTTAACTCACATGCCTGTACTTTGTTTGACTGGAAACCACAGTTGTGGGTTCAATTCCAGACCTGAAGGGCAACTAGGGGCCATAGTCTCAGTGGTTACACCAGGCTCCATTGGAACTGATCCTCTTCCAAGTAGTTGCCAGTGGCACCATCTAGTTCTTCTGGTCTCATAGTTGTATAGGTTGCAGATCAGATGGTGTACCAGTCGCTAGGACTGATTGTTTCCATTCATTTGGTTTTCTTCTTTCTTCTTGACGAGGAGACACCCATTGTTGCAGCTAGATGGCAGCTTGCTAGCTTTTAAGGTCCCAGTCGCTACTCGCCAAAGTAGGAGGTGGAACAATGTTTTGTATAGTGTGTTATGCCAATTGAGCTTGATGTCCCCTGTGACTATGGTCCCAAGCCTGCAGGATCAACTACTCGGTCCCTCTGGGTAGCTGGCTGTGACCAAGCAATGACCATAACCTTGCCCCTTGTCAGCTCTACTATACACCTGGGAATTCTGATCACTCACATAAACTTATTCTACTCATTTCTTTAGAGTTGTATTGCCTTTCTTTGATTCTGTTACCTTTCTAAAAAAATCTTTTTATTGTGGGAAATGTCGAACACATGTAAAAGGAGAATTATATCAGGAATCCCCAGTATACATTACCCAGCCTCAGAGATTATCAACTCATATTTTCTCTCCTCCCACTCACCTCTGTATTATTTTGAAGCCAAATGACACGTCATATAATGTCACTTATAAATATCTCAATATTTAGCTCTAAAAGAACTTTTTTTTAAAAAATGTAAACATAATACTACTTTCACATACCTCCAAAAATGAAAAATAATAATATCCTATAGCATCAATTATCCAGTTGTTCAAATTTCCAATTTTCCTTCATGTTTGTATATTAAACCATGTTAATGTATATATTTATGCTTATATATAGAACCCTTCAACCATTACTGCAACAGATTACATTCTTCTAGTTATGCATCCATTCTCACCTTCTTTTCCTGTGTTATTCTTCTCCCCTTCACATAAACTCATTGTCCCTAAGGTTTCAGTGTCATTATTAACCCATAGATTTTAAATTTTGATGTGTTTTCATCGTATTTCCTATCTTTATATATGTTCAGATTTTCCCACCTGTAGCAAATTGGAGCTTTTTAAATTAGGTTTCTGAGTACTTTTGACATGATGTTAGGTGTATTTGATGGTGTCCTGGTTAAGCACATTTTTCCAGGCTCATCCTATATATTTCCTACCTCAGACCAGGAATTGCTGTTTCTCCAAAGAGCCCTCATGCTTTTAAGTGAGAAAAGTTTTTGTTTTTGTTTTTCTTTTTTTTTTAATTAGGATTTGGGTGAAGATTTACAGAGTAAATTCACTTTTCATACAGCAGTTCACATATACTTTGTCTCATGTCATTGACCAAA